CGTTCCTGCACTGGTGCTGGACCAAATCTAAAGTATTTTAGGAAAGAAAAAAAAATTAACAAAACCTGTGCTGTCAGTGATGTCCATTTCCAGAGTGCTTGAGGTCACATCAGCAGTATCTCCAATCCTACAGCCACGGCAGGGTAAGCAGATACACAGAACTGCTGCAGTGCTTGTTCAGATTGCTTCCTGCACCTTGGGGTAGGCCTTGGGGACCTCCCATTGGCCCCTGCAGGGATGTGCCTGCCAGTCCCCTTTCAGCACCTGGAACATGCTCTGCAGTAAACAGATAATCCTTGGGCTGGAAAAGGGCAGGAGAGCAATCTCTGGGCAGAGGAAGACACTAGCTTGGTGTCACACAAGCAAATATTTTAGCATCAGGCATACTGGCACCTGAGGACTGCAGCTCTGGGCCCTTAACATGTAACCCTTAACAGAGTTGAGCTGTGGGACAGTGCAGATGATATGGTCCAGGCAATTCATCAATTCATTTCCTCCTACAGACAGGAGCTCACAGACCTGTAACCATGGCATGAAGAGCAGTGTACTATTAATTTCACGATGCAACAGGGTCCACGTGCCAGAAACTGGCAGCACCTCTGAAGTACCCATGCCAGGCCATAAAGACAGCAGCCATCCTCCTTTGTAGCGTGGCAATGCCTATGGCTTTGCAAGGTGTGCCTGGGTCACACAGGGAGAACCTCCATGCAGTATACACATACAGCACCAGGAATAAGGCATGCCAGATGCTAATGGCACTAATGGCAAGCATTATATTCCCAAAAGCCACTAATCCCTGATTTGAAACAGTGAGGAGGCACCCAGATCACCTCTGCTAAACCTGTGTGATACACTAAAGACCTACTTATACACATTGCCACTCCACACTCCACCTTCAATGAAAGAATGTAAATTTTAGCTTCTTATATCTCAGAAAAAAATTGCACATCCTGTGCTACTCCCCATTGTGACTCTTCTTCTTGGAAACATTGAGTTACTATATCCTCACAGATATAATAACCTGCTCCTCATCAAGCAGGTGCAGAAAGCTGTAGTGAAAAGGGCAGACTACAGCTATAATTCCATGGTTGAACACTTATTGCTTGCTGTAGGAGTCTAAAGTCCAGTGCTCAGCTATAGCTTTAGTTTGTCACTGCTGGAACATGCTGCTTGAATGATAGATCATGTTCTACAGCACAGACACAGCAATTCAGACTTTATCTTACCTTAATTGTGGAAAACTAAGATTAAAAGTTCCTGGATTTTTAAAATTTACCATTTTATCATTTATAATTATTTATCATTTAGAAGTCTGGACTTTAACTACTGACCTCATCACCTCTTATTAACTACTCAGAGACTACTTCTTGGCTGCCCACAAAAATGGTTTGTGTGCTTTTGTTTCAACATGTCATTTGTAAAAGACAAACCCAAAAATCAAAGAAATACTAGTGTTAATAATTTACATTTAGTTCTATTCAAAATAGTGTGGAAAACTGAAAGCAGAATGAGAACCAGGATATTCTGGTATTAAAAAAAGCCATGTCCTCAACTTTCAGTAACCCAAACCCTGTATGTTGTTTGAATTTCTCTTTGATGTGTCTAATTTTTAAAAAAAACAATGTTTCACTCACCAATTAGTCATGGATATGCTATATATTTAACCATTTAACTACCTTCACACTTAATTTTAATTAAAACTTATGTCAGTCATTAGCAGTTCGCAGTAATTTAGTGTGAGCTGCTCAAGACTCCAAGAGATACAGGTTGAAATCACCTAAACCACCGCAGAAGGAATCACCTTGAGGGGTCAGTGCAGGGAATCCAATTCACCACCGGATCTGGGATATCCTCCAGGTAGGGGTAGATGGATTCTCTTGTGAATCGCCAGCCATAGATGCCGTCTTCAGGAGTCACGATGATGTGGGCACCCTGTCACAACAGGCTCCATTTAAAGGTCACCCACCAGCAGACAACCTGCAGGGCCAGCAGGAGCAGAAAACACTGATGGACAGCCCTGACGGTACCCCTCGTACCTGCTGGGCAGCTTCCTTGATGGCCCCTTCCAGGACATCCATGTTTTTGTTCATCAGGGCCAAAGCACTGTCGGGAGAAACGGGCTCCTCGGAGGGACCTGGCAGGATGACGGCGTGCTCGTAGACAGCTGCCATGAAGGTGTCGGAGGCAAGGGCCTGAAGGGCTGCGAGTGCCAACACCACTGCGGGCAGGAGAGCCTGGGAAGGGAGCATGGCTGCAGCCTCCCAGCAGGTAGAGTGCTCTGGACAAACAGTGCTAAAGGAATATTCACAGAAAAGAGAAGGGGGACAAAGTTTACTTTGAAAGAGGGAGGAATGAACTGCAGGTCTGTTAAAGCATTACCTTGGAACCATGTGTGCCATGTAAGTACTGCTGTACACGGTAAGGTTGTCATCACAACCCTAAGATTCTGGGCAATGCCAAGACTAATGGAGCCAATAAAAGATAAATAATTAAAAACATATCTAGAAAGAACAGTCCAATTTTTTTGTTTATACTTTACTCTGTTACTGATTACAGCAAGACTTTTTCTATCTGTGTGGGCTCAGCTCAGATTCGAAGGTGGATATTGTCACCCATGGAGCTAGTATTCTGTGAATTTTTAGTTTCTTCATATTCCTTAGTTCCTGTGCTATGTGTTAGTATGTGCAGCTTGCTTCAGAGTTTCTTTAGACCAAAGAAATTGCATTAGCATCTCATTATACTTAGATGTCATGCACCCAACATGCCAGCAACAGAACTTCCTTTGAGTTTATCCCAGTGTATCTCTCAGTCACTTCTGTTTAGCTGGGCATCAATTCCCAACAGCTTTCCATCAGAAAATACAAATCAGGACAGAATTTTTCCTCTGAAATAAGGCACGTAATAAGACCTCACTGTCTGATTCTCGCTAGCCTGAAGCAAAAGAGCAGGCTATTTCACCAGGTGCAGGAGCATCCCTGATCCTCTGCACACCTTTCTGTCCCCACAAACCTGCTGTGGATTGAGAGGCCTTCTCTTTTCATCTTCAACTCATTCCAAATTCATCTGTTGCTATGACATTTTCCAGGTTTTGACTTTCTAGTATTTGCAGTATTCCCATTTGAAAAAGGCTGTCTGAGCAGTAGGAGGCAGAACAGCCTGTCTGCTTCCTGCTACAACAGACTGTCACTGTAGAGCTGGTTCAGAAAACACAGACCTGTGGATGAATGCAGATACCACAGAGCTCTCTCAGAGGGTACTGCTGACTCAGAGTTTCAATCATTAGGAACTTTGATTTTTATCTGGTCATGTTCATCCCTAGGTACTTCTCAACACACATCACTTCATCCAGCATGTTCATTCAGCAACCTTAAATACAAGCCTTTTAAAGGCTGCAGTAGAGATGTTGGTGATCCTTGGACTAATGAACCTTTGAAGCCTTCCTCCCTCTCTGCCTCACTTTTTTTACCAAATGAAATATAGGTTGAGGCACATTAAGCACATCAGACATCAGTGTCCGGGAGGAAGTAGCAAATGCTCCCTTGTTGAGCAATAGTGAGGAAATCAGCCAGAAAGGTGACTGCCCTGCCAGCGAGGAGCAGAAATATTTACCAATGCAGGGCTAGGGGAATGCCCCACAGAATTCAAGTCTCACTGCCGGGACAAGGAGCAGCGAGTTATCCCTGTTTGCCTCTGAACCAAGGAACTGACACCAGTGAAACAAACAAATCCACCGCCTCAAGTGAAGAAAACTGCAGTGGTGCGGCTGCACTTGGCTCTGGACAGTGTAAGGGAAAACTTACCTAGAGGTCCGCCTACTTTCCACTCCTCTCCCCTCCCAATCCATTCTTCCCACCCCTGTGCTGCTCCCGGCCCCATCTCTGCTATTGTCTGATGGTGGGGGCTACCTGAGGACTTACTTTGGGAAGCAGGATGCAATTTGGTGCTAAATCAGCTTAGCTGTAGAGGGAGTCTGTGATCAGACTGGGGTCCGGCTTCTCTTCTCGTGCTTAGCGAGAGCGTGAGGAAGGCACTGCACATCCCAAGGGTTAAGCTCGCCTGGAGCAGGCGGTGTGAGAGGTCACTCGGCAGCCACGCAATCACT